ATTTATTACATTTATATTATCACTTTGATTTTATATATTACTTGACTCCTACGGTAAAAAAAATGTTTTAATTCAGAGATTTACTGGATTCTTAGTACTAAATATTTTTTTTACTAACAAACGTATCAAGAAATATACCTATATCAAAACTATCTATATCCAGACAATTAAATATTGATATTATTTTTCATCTTACAGTCAGATGAGGCAGGATCCTTGGACTCCATTATTGATTTATTTTCAATCACATCCATTTAAAAATACAAGTCATATTAACACTACGGTCACGGTTCACTGGAAAACACTTAAAAAAAACAATTGGTTGTAATATCGATTCCTAGGCAAATAGCTTTAGATCAACTATCAAACACAAATATTTATGTGCATGTGAATGAGATAAATAAATATGTTTAGTACGTTACAGAGGAGACGGTATGCGCACACGTCCTCAAGGACTGAGTGATGGGAAGCGTTCCGCACTTAGTTGCAATCTAAGCTATTTCAATACGCGCTGAGAATTCAAAACTTGGCAGTTTCACTAGAACAGGACTTAGCGAATCACGATTAAGTCAAGCATCTGGCAGCTCTCAATATCGATCTGGCTTTGCATAGCACAAAATGATAAAACCCTGGTATACGGACATCATTATCAGTAGTAACAATTAATTTAAACAGCGAAGAAATCTTTTTATACGTATTAAACATATTTACTGAGACAACGAACTTCGTTAAATTCTCTGCCTTATTTGCTGTCCAATTAAGGATTCCAATATTTTTTTTCCATAGCATTCCACACAATAACTTCTGTCGACCTTATTTTAAGTGCCTCAAATGCATGATAACGCAATCGTTAGCTGATGTATTAATTTAATGCGGACTTCGATCTCGATTCTCGTCGTACATAAACAATATGTTAGGTATAAGTTCCTTTCCGATGCTCCTAGCATGGAAAAATTACATCAAGTTAACATTAATTGTCCTTGAAGTTATAACGCGATCTATAAATATAGCTTGCGTTATTTTTCTATTTACGAATACGAAAACTGATTTTATTACGTATAATATTGTTTGGTATACAGTAAGTGAAATTTTATAAGGGTTGTATAGCATTTTTTTGAAGAATTCATTTGTTCCAATATAGGTGACGATCGTAATATCAGTGGTAACTGTAACGAACGGTGTCTATTACGGCGACAGGACGTCGTAGTGGTGAGCTCGGTCGACTTATGACCGTCAGGTTCCGCTACAGAGACTAGCATGGCTAGTTGCATGCTCTTTGAGCACACAACAATGATTTGTATAAGAATAGGAAAGCAGGATCTAGTTATTATGTCTGATTAAAATTCGTTCATTTATATGTGAGGAAAATTAAATAAAGACAATTATGATTTAACATTTAATGAGTAATCAATAAATATTTGTCTGTGATAACAATGATAGGTTTAAATTGAAAAATATATAAAATGTTGCTTAGTGCATATAAATATGAATAATGAAAATAGTAACTATAAAAGGAAATAAACAGTTTATTGTTTGATTTGTTTCCTAATTGAATCGACTAGGTACCTTGTTTAAATATGAAAACTGCACAATTAATGCCAGGCATTTATTAAAATTGATGTACATTTAAATACCGGTACACAGGGAGAGACAAAAATAGGACGAACACTTTTTATTATTCTAGGTATATTTATATGCCTCAGATAAAATACTGTATATTAAATATGGAATTACATATAGATAGCATTAAACATAATAAAATAAATACTTCATCATAGTGGTACTTAAATAAAGTGACTAGAGTAATTGGATCAAATAAAATATAAATAAAAATCAATATAAACATCACAATAAAATACCTTTTTCAAAACTTAAGTTATCATGCATCAATATTTAATTCAACAGGTATATTTCTTTGTAATTTCTTTATGAAATATGTGCCATCTGTATAAATTCTTGCTGTTCATTATAATTATTGGTATTATTTAACTAAACAAACATTACAAAATAAAAATTATAAATTTAAATTTTTAATTAAAAACTATGTTTGAAATGAAAACTTATTACATTTTTTTATTGATGTAAGGAAGTATTTCTTTATGCATATTCAGTACCTTTTTTTGCTGAGCTACCAGGTGCATTGTAGTAATTAAATCAAGCCTATATCAAAAAGATTATTAAGAATATTATTATATGAGAATTTAAAGCACACTGGCAAAGTATGAATGTAGAGTTTGCTGGTTTGTGATATGAGATAGACTAATTTATGTAATTTTAATAGTTCAAGTTATAATTAATGATTATTTTTCTAAACCATATTATGTAAACAACTGCAATTTTTTAATAACACTTTATATGAATATATTTATACTTTTTAATATCGTATACCCATAAAAACGTGTTAGGGCAAATTTTTACCAGCTTGACAATTAATCAGAAAATTTATAGATGGATTTTTCCTGTCGCAATTCGAAATAGAAAAAACGAAGTTGTACGTATTTACTCGACATAAAAACTGACTGTAAATTTTCATAAAATTTAATACATGTTCTATTAGAAATTTAGATATCAGTAACCATTTATTTAAAATTCACCGAAAGTTCGGTTACGAAGCATTTATTCAAAATACAAAATGAATGATAGTTCCATGGCGCGAAGCATGCTTTGATTTCATTGTTAAGAAAACAAGGATAAGTCTTTATATATTACCTGATCTCTGCATAATGATAACGATATCGTTGATATAATTTAGATCAATAACATGTCTAATTCACTAAATCCAACAACACTTCACTACACTAAACTGTCAACAGTAACACCCGCCCTTGGACAGAAATTGATTTTTTGAAATGTGTTCCCAGTATAGAAAAAAAAATACATTTTTGCCGCAGCACTTTGTATTTTTGACATGGTTGGTAATTCATTTGTAATAACGAATAAATGATTAAAATATTTTTAGTTACTAGTATTTGTTAACACGATGTCAATATTCTGTACTCTTATAAAAAATCCTTAATATATTAAGTTTATTTAGTTACAAATCTTATTTATATATATATAATAAAACATAAAATCACAATTCTTAAACTATAAGAACAGTGAATTATTCTTTTTTATCTCTGTTAACACTATTCATTTACATAATTCAGGAGATACTAATGTCTGACATCTGCCAGTTCAAACTTCAAACTTCAAAGTAGAAAAAGGACGAGCCATGAGTATGACATATGAACAACATTGATATGTTTAATACCGCATTTTTTCTTTGAAAATAGATTTAAAATGAACATCAGTATTTATATTATGAATGATATCATGGTTTAAAGCGAATCACGTTTAAATTTCATTTCAACAAACGCTCGTTTATAAGCTTTTCATTCTTAACTTTCAAAGAGAAATATAGGTCTTGGTTAAACAAAACCCTAAATTTTGAAACTAAAGATAAAATTAATACGTACTTCATAATGCAAAGTTGTAAATTACAAGACGTTTCTCCCGGTAAGTAGATGTTTATTTCAGTTATTAAAGTTATTATTTTAATACTTTATAATATTTGCTTGTTCTGTTTATAAATGCTCGTTTTTATCATAAATAAAAACGTAATAGTTTTAAAAATACCTATTCGTTTATTTTTCCATTGGCGTGACAATCTTCCTATAAAGGACACGGTGATAAAACAGCTATATTAAATGATAATAGTTGCAATACTTGGCACTTCGAGACTATAAACGTGCTCAAATTTAATTTCGCGCTTTCATACTTTCCCGAGACATTTTTTTTGTATGAAACATTAACTTTATTTTTGGTTTTCGAAGTGTTATTAATATTTATATGACGAACTTTTAGTTACGCCGTATGAATTGAACATTCCACTAGAAAAAAATCCCTTGTGGAGGCTTTAAACCAAACAGTTGAGAGTATATATATATAAACAAGTGTTTTTTTGTATCGTATTGTTTGGATGGAAAAACGCCGATATTGTTATAAAATTGCATTGTTTTCAGATATAATGAGTTAACGTTTAACTATGTAACTGGGCAAGGAAATGTTTAGTTGTGCGATGTCTAAAAAATTGTTTCACACGTCGATTCGTCGTTTTTTGGGGATGTGGAACCATCATAAGAATAGTAAAATGAATTACATGCTATCCCGGGTAAGTTATAGTGTTAATTATATCAAATAAAATATACATGGCTGATTCGGTTTAATGTACCGTATATAATCTTTATTAGAGTCGCATATGCTTTTATACTTCAATGACGATGTTGTTGACCCGCATTTCAGTAACAATGTTAGGTAAATGCACCGAATTCTCTCAGGTCATTCAAGCGCCATCTTAGCTCACAGTTTGTGGCCAAATGTTATTTATGTTTTGATAAAAATATGTGACGTAGATTCTTTGATCGTTTTTACTGAACACTTATTTCGTTTGTGTTAAAAACAAATTGTTATTTTAAATACATATTACCATTTGTCAAATATGAAATAACGTAAAGTAGGGTGAGGAAAAAACAATAGGTACTCAATTTTGGTAAATAACATACATATAAAAGAACTGATGAACATAGAAAACAACACAGTCGTCCGAACATCAAGTTTATTTTAAAAACATTCTCGGAATAAAAATATAATATTTTCTGAAAAAAATTGGCAATATTAAGCATTCTTACTTTCCTATTGCAGATAAAAAATAATTATGAAAAAAATAAAGAGTACGGGCTCTGGGCAGGTTTTTTCTCTATATGGCCAAGTAGTATGGATAATGATGAAAGAGTTAAAGATAAAAAGGCAGTCCTTATAAATTCCATATTGGAACTATCTGATAATTTTTTCGAAACAGGAAAATACGAGGAATCCTATAATTTACTTATTAATAGTGAGGTACGTTATATACCTTATAGTATGTACGTAACATTTAATACCTTAAATATAAATAACAACTTCTACAGAATAAGGACGACGTAGAAATAAAATGGCGCATTTCACGCGTTCTGTATAATATGGCAAAAGATCAAAAATACAACCAGAGCTACAGAAAAGAGTTGACACTTAAAGCTCACGAAGTGATCTCTCAGGAGTTGCTATCTCATTATGATCATTTCGCTGTTCAGAAATGGTATGCTCTGACATTAGAGGCTAAAAGTAGATGCGAAGGCTTCAAACAAAGGATAGAACAACTCGAAACCGTTAAAAAGCATATGGATGTAAGTATCAACCGCTTTAAATTTATTAATTCCTAAAAAAATTTACGTCATAAAATCATTTAAAACCAGTGTAATTGTATATATTTTCAGTTAGCGGTGTCTATGAATCCTAACGACGCGAGTCTTTTACATATGTTGGGTGAGTGGTGTTACCAGATTACAGATCTACCCTGGCATCAGAGGAAAACTGCGGAGACTTTGTACGCGAAGTTGCCACAGTCAACATACGAAGACGCTCTTGAATATTTCTTAAGGGCAGAAGAAGCTCAACCTAGATTTTACAGTATTAATCTACTTAGGTTAGGTATGTGTTACTTGAAACTAAATATGGAAGACCAAGCTAAATACTATTTGAAATTAGCAGCGAGCTATCCGGCGAAGTCGAATGACGATCATCACGCGAACAAAGAGGCTGCGGAAATATTAAAAAAGATTAAATAAATAAAATATTAAAATATAATAACGATGTTTTAATTTAATGGATTCTTAAATAAACATAATTCTTTTATCTAAATAAATTCTTGTGTTAATGTAGTATTTATACAATATGTACTAAATATACCATAGGTATACGGTATATGCCGGAAATTTATGATATCCGTCATTAGGTCCATTACTTTATAACGCATACCTGTATGATATATTTAATTGTTTTACGCACTCCCGTTTTTTACTATTCGCAGATGATAAAAAAAATTATAAAGTAATAAGTAGCACATCCGATTGCATTGAATTACAACATGACCTTGATAATCTTTCACATTACTACGAAAAAAATAAAATAACCATTAACATTAAAAAAAACAGTAAAAATAACATTTTCCAGGAAACAGAAATATTGAATACAACTATAATATTAATAACAAGCCCATCCAAGAAGTAAAATCAGTGCGTGACCTTGGAATGCAATTAGATTCAAAGTTATTGATGGCAGAGCATATAGAACACGTTACTGATAGGGCATATAAGCAATTAGGATATGTAAAACGAATATGTCATAAATTTAATAATATTGAATGCATAAAAACTTTATACTTATGTACGATCTGTCTTAGAATACGGTTGTATTATATGGTCTGCCAATTATACAACTTACAAAGAAAAACTGGAAAAAATACAAAAAAAATTCGTAAAATTTCTTTGCTTTAAAGAATTTAAAGAATTTAACGATTATGTTGATATATGTAAACAATATAATATCGAAACATTGGAAACGAGACGACGACATTATGATATGTATATGTTACATGCAATAATTACGGGAGATATAGATTGCACCGATTTATTGAGCGCTTTGTATTTAAGAGTTCCTAATCGCCGCACACGTCATACAGCACTATTCCACACGCCTGAGCTAAAAACTAACTATGCACACAACTCTGTCCTTAATCGCATGGTCCACACATATAATTCACACTACTCAGAAATTGATCTGTTCAGCATGTCAAAACTAGCTTTTAAAAAAGCTATAATTAAAAAAGATAAAAATTCATAATGACAAACATACACACACCCCCCCACACACACATACAGACACACACACGCAAACACACACACACACACACACACACACACACACAATCATGCAAACACGCACCTATTGGATTCCCACCCGTACCTTTATATTACTTTAATACTATAAATTTTACTTTTATACTGATTTTACTTGTCTTCTAGTTATTAATATGTTTAAGATACCTGTGTAATCCTATCTTGGTTTTAATTTTATGTTATGTAATATTTAATATAAAAATTTATGTATAAAAACTGTTGGATTACCAAATAAATAAATAAATAAATAAATAAATTGTATTTCTAGGAAATGTTTGTAATTCTTAAAAATCGCACAAAAATTGAGAAATAAATTATATTAGACACCTTTCCTGGGAAATCTATATATAAATGTATAATGTATAAGAAATTTAAATTTTTGAAATATCAATGGGTACGATATTGATGTATTAAAAAAAATTACCAACATTTTATACATTTCTAAACAGCTTCGGTATTGTATAAACTTTATATCTTCGGAAACATATATATATCCCAATAAAACAGTAAAGATAATTAGGGATATCATCACTATCAAAGGTACAAAATTGATGAGTTCCATACATAAACAACAATACATATGTTATTTATTTCTACTGACTACATTACACTTTAAGGAAACAGAAATCAATTTTAATATAAAACACCTTTTTAAACAGTCACATTGTTGAATAATTAATTTGTTATGTAATTTTTATATTGGTTTATTTTAATAGTTATACATATATAAATTTAAATGCAGTTGTGTTAGTCAAATAAATTATTATTTTACTCTTAGAAACCAAAATCTTGAGCTTTAATTAAAAATAATAACTGTTTAAATTCTCTAAATAAGATTAAACACTACTGCCAGTGTCTGGTTCAACATTTGGTAACTTAAGTATATGTATTATAATGAGTTTTTTTTTTCAATTTTGATGTGCAGAAGTTTAAATAAATCCAAAACAAAACATTATTTCAAATCAAGAGGACTTCACACTGCATTTTCAACTTATATAAACGGCTATGTATTTTTTGTATTTTTGATACAAAATTTATAGGTTTGCAAGGATTAAAATTTATAAGAATAAAAATTTTTAATCATATTTTTATATTGTTACATTATTTTTCAAAAAACATTTATTATATAATTATGAATAAATATATGTTGGTCATTAAAACTAGATTATAATTGTAACACTACATTACACTCATTCAAAAAAAGAAAAGAATTTTCGCTTAAGACATAACAAATTGTATAAAAAAATAATCTTAATAATGTATAGAGACGACAGTGTTGAGAAACTAGCAAAAATATATAATGTTACATTTAAATACATATTTAAAGAACATATTTGAAATTTAATTATAATCAAACAAAATTACCATTATAATTTATCATAAGAAAGATAATATAAGAATTTCAACACTTCATAATTTGTGTCAGCCAATTTAAAAACGAATACTTAGTTCTAATACTACATTATAAGAATCAACATAAGAAATTATGTATAAAATGGGACAAATTTAACCTTATGAAACTCTTTACAATAAAAATGTTATTTTAAATATTACCTTTTACACGGAAACTTATAGGAACTATGAAGTATGATAAACTGGTTTACAGAAAATTGTATAATAAAGTTTATAATAGTGTTTGTTTCTACATTGGCCAATTAGCACCGCAACATTTGAGATCAGTCTACATTTTTTAAATATCTTTTAAATAAGATAAATTCAGTAATAATAAAATAATGACAAAAAAATGTAATTAAACTTAACATATGAGACAGATATCACGAAACAAGGCATATTATATGACTATTGATTTAAAACAAAGATGAACAGAATGATACATTGATAAAAAAATTACCTTAAATTTCGTATTAATAATATAGAAAAAAATACTTCAGCATGATTAGATCTTTAACACGCAGAAAGTTACGTCTAAAATTCGAATCCAATTTGTGCAAAAAGCTTTTTCTTTATCTATCTATTTGAAATTGAATATTTGAGTCAACTTTGTTTAACCATCATTGTTTTTTTTTTCATAGAAGTTTGTATAAAAAAAGTATACAAAACACTTATTATTAAAATAAAAAAAAATAAAAATATAATTGTCGACTGTAAATGTACATAATGATAATAGGTAATGAATTAAATGACAGACTACATAAAAATATTATAAAATTGTATAACATATTAAAAAAATTATATAAACAAAATGACTGATATTTAAACAATGTACATAATAGCTTATTAAAGAAAAAACAGTATTATTTATAAAAAACTTAAAAATAAATATATTCTGTGTTCCTGTATTAAATGTAATTTTATTACTGAGGATAAATCGCTTGAGTAACATAATATTATTTATCAAAAAAAGTGACTTAGTCATAAAACATTTTAATATATGAATATTTATTATTTTAAATGCAAAAAATAGTTCTAGGCCACAGAAGCATAGCGGCGTGTACGTTGAAAACCACAACCGAGTCGCATAGACACATAGTAGAAAGATACAAAATACTTCTATATTATCGTAAATGCTAATAAATATTTCACTTACGAGATTCCTACTGTTAGTATACACAAGGACTCTGTTACACCAACGAAGATTATTATATGACTTACAACATTCCTGGACGATCAGATTCATGATTCCCCGATTTCTCGAAGAACATAAAATCCTGAAAAAATAATTAATCTCGTTATTGATGCAAGTAGTGTAACTATACCCACCCACATGTTTAATGTGAACGCAGCCTTATAAGATAGTAATTAATTTTAATTCTTCATTATTACCACTAGTTTTCACCATTAAATTAAATACATTCACAAACTTATTAACTTATTTTAAGTTTTGAAATTAAAAATCATAATATATTCTAAATACGTATATCTTCAACTTTTGCATTCAGAATTCAAGGAATTTGTAAGAAAAATATTAAAAGTTACAGATAGAGAAAAAATAGATCCACCCTCAAAAAAGATCTCAGTTATGTGGTAGCATACTGTTAGTAATAATTATCTATATATATATAAAAGAAAGTCGTGTTAGTTACTCCATTTATAACTCAAGAACGGCTGAACCGATTTAGCTAAAAATTGGCAGGGAGGGTAGTTTAAAGCCAGGAAATTGCAATAGGATACTTTTTATCCCATTCAACAGCATTCCCGTGGGACTTGACATGAAACGTCAGTCACTATAAAACGTGGAATAACGAAACACAATTGACGTATAATGACAGATATGTAATTTAGTATTTGCGGGATAAATTTAGAAAATCATTGTTTTTCACATGGGCAGTTATAGTTTGTGTGTTCACGAGTTGGGAAACCATCCATTTTATTTGTGTTAACGTTAGACCAAAAAACAAAAAATGTGGTTTACAAAGGAGCACTTCAATGAAACGGATAATTTGCGGACACGTATAACGCTTCGATTCGGTATCTACTTTGGATTCACTTTCATTTACTTAGAGAAGTTCAACTAAATAACACTTTAAATTTATAATCGAAATGAATTCATTACTGTTGTGAAATGAAATAAAAATTTTCCTTTTCAAATATAAAACAAAAAAAAATTCTTCATCTTTTAATCACGAAACGAAATGTTACATAAAACAAAGCCTTCTGGAGGCGAAAAGGAGTTCGCCAGGTTTACTAGTTTATAATAATTTAAATTTTGATTCACTTTATAATCCTAAGCTTAACGTTATTTATATTCTAAAATTAATTCGGAATCCTTGTAATAGGAAACTAGCGCCCTCTGTATGATATTATAACCTACTCTCACCTAAATATGTACCTTGAATATTATAAAAAGGATATAAGACTGTTACGAGTTTTAGAGCAATAAACATCTAAGTGGAAGTATTGCCTAAAATTATTTCATATATATCTCTTGAACTACTTAACTACTTCATTCTGAACGAATTAATTTGTAACTATTTTAAGTGAAAGATAATTTCAATGAGAAAATAGATCTACTCTCATAACGATCTTAGTTATGCGATATTATCTAAAATTACTGGATTATTTTTATAATCTTACTATGAGGAAGCAGGCTCCGAGCAGCACAGCCTTTATCTTAACGTCCAGGTCCATAGGGAAGGTGATGCCGAAGTAGTCACTGTCAGTGAACACCTCCCGCGCCAGACCCGACCACTGCTTAGTTATTTTGCCCACCTTCGTCTCACCGTCTCTTGAATACACCTGGAAAATAATATATTTATACGTAATTAATAAAAATTAAGTGTCTATTTTGTAGTTACAAATTAACGGCATTTTAACAAACCTACACGAAATTATATACTTTGGTAAATAAAACTAAAATTTTTAATATTTTTGTCTGTCTGTTCAGGCCAATCTCTGGAAATTCCGGATCGATATTGAAGGTAGTTTCACTAGCATGTAGGTACCATAAACAATTAACTAATGTTAATTTTAAGAGGTTTTCAAAAATAAGGAAGTTCTCAATTCGACCAAGGTTTAATTATGCTACTACTCCTTTAATTAAAGGCAGATTTCAAAAAATATTATTTTATCAAAAGTTTAATAACCTGAGGTACCATTAATAACCTGAGGTTAATAACCTGAATTTTCTTGGTGAGGTACCATCTCACCAAGAAAATTCAAGGAAATGAATTAATTGTCATAATGATTCCAACGCATATAATATAGTTGTTTTAATATGCGGGCAGAGCCGTAGACAACATCTAATAAAATAAGAATAAAAACAGTATCAAAATTTCTTTTTTTATTAAGGGATTTTTGAGACATATTTTATTACTATGATTCTTTTATTATATCTGCAATTTGCAAACTATAAACATAAATGATGTTATAGTCATTATGTTTAAATCTTTTTACATACTATTTATTACAGCTCTAACATAGACATAGTCACTACTTATATTACAATAGGGAAACTTCTTCGTGTTCGTTTGTTGCACTGTATTTCCACAAAACATTATTACACTACATGGTAAGATTATTACGCAGTAAGGGTTGCAGTATAGAGAAAAATTTCTATTCAACAATGAAAATATTTGCTGATAGGTAAAATAAGAAAATTATTTTTTTTTAATTTTGTTTAATCTAAATCCTACTAATATTATAATTGCGAAAGTTTGTGAGTGTGTGTGTATGTTTGTTACTTCTTCACGCTCAAACAGCTGAACCGATTTTGATAAAATTTTGTATACAGGAAGCTGACGTCCAGGAATAACACATAGGCTACTTTACATCCTGGAAATCTCGGAAATCCCGGAAATTCCCGGGTAACACCGCGGGGCGCAGCTAGTTTACAAATAATACTCCTCGTGACATCGCTTTGACAAGTTCGTATCAAAAATTGGGATAATTTTACATCTATTTGGGACAGCTGTGAGCGAAAAATCCTTATGATAATTCATAAAACATATACAAATAATGTATATACGTAAATGTTTGTTAATTAATTATTTATCTCTATCATAATATAAACATTTGTGATACGTATTAAGTTTATATTGTTGACTAAATAAATAAGTCTAGAATAAACGTTACTTTGATAGTACTGAGCGTATGAAGGTCAATCAAATAAAACATTTCATCATCTGTTAAGTAATAAATATGTATAATAAAAGGTATATATGTTTCAATTATATTTGAATTTTAGCGCAATTAAATTTTAATTGACTGATTATAGCTCATTAAAAAGTAGCGCAATATTAGACAGTGTATTATGCATATGAGTTATGACGTATAAACAGGGAATTATAAAATATGCAAATATCTACAGAAACTTTAAAATTTGTAACAAACTTTAACTAATAGCTAGCTATAAATAAAAAGGAGAAGTCAGGCTTATATAATAACACAACTAAAAATAAGGAAGTCTTAAAACAGAATACTTAATATATTAATTATTACATAATCCTGAAACGTATTTAATACTCTTTAGGCGCACGAAATAATAATGTACGTTAAACATAGCTCTGTTTGATTTGACTTAGATAATACAAATGAAGCATTATCTCATTATTGTATGATAAATACGTTTTTAAATGTTGCAAAATTTATATGACTGTTTAACGTATGTGTGTGTGTGTGTGTGTTTAATGTATACGTGTGTGTGTACTCACGTTGATACAAATGAAGCATTATCTCATTATTATATGACAAATACGTTTCAATATGTTGCAAAATTTATATGACTGTTTAACGTATGTGTGTGTGTGAGTGTTTATATGTATGTATATGTGTGTATGAGTGTGTGTGTGTGTGTGTGTGTGTGTGTGTGTGTGTGTGTGTATGTGTATACTCACGTTGAACTCGATGTCGCCGCAGATGGAGAAGGTACAGACCGGTCCCTTGATCTTCAATACTACGTCCCCGGCTGCGTTCTTTATGTCGTAACAGGGCTTGCAAATTGACCACTGCTGTTCAATGGAGCCGATCACAGTTCCGGGTGGTGACGTCACCTCCATGGTCTGCAGCCAGCACGGGCAAAGACACGAGTCACACGCGAGTGGACGATGGAGATGTATCACCTGCAAATTAATATAACTATCATTATACTATACATATTATATGAAGATTTATTATTTTTATTTTAGAGGAACAGTTCAGGTTTACTTCCAAACTCTAGCTTCCAGCGAACAAAAAAAAACAAATCAAAACCAATGAATATTGTAGTTTATCCCTTTAACGGTCATAAGGAGTGGACAGTGGAAAAACAAAATTGATGATGGTTAAGGGGTATATAATAGAAGTAAAAACATATGTATATGTATATAAATATATATGTATTTGTCAAACCTTCTGTCAAACTGTCTAACTGTCTATTGACACTAATAAAATTTGCCTGAATAAAAAAAATCGATCAGTGGACGAAATATCGGTTTAAAAAAAATCGTGGTGGGGAAAATATCGCCTCTAACTTATAAAGGGTTATGGATGGGATTACAAAACAAAATATTATTATCTACTGTTGTATCATAGGATAGTTATAGTGATTACATAAACAATATGGTGTTTTCTTAAAATATATATAAATAATGAATTATACCTCATTCTTGAAATTGTCCATGATTTTCATATCAAAGGGACGTGTTGGACCACAACAGTTCCTCGTGCAGCAATCATTGTCTTCAACAGCATAATATACTTTTTGGCCGAGAGAGTTTTTTATCGTATATTTATTATTGGTTTCGAACCCTACAAAAGCCTCAAGTAGTTCCACCTTCTGATGTACCAGGAGCTGATCAATCAAGGATAGGTACTCCAAACCTGGCGGACAGTTTGTTAGCCCTTGCGGTATAGTCATCCAACCGCCTGAAAATATATTTTTAGACATTTTTATATTTCATACCGACATGACAATTCAAAGCTTATGAATAGACTGGATACTTAGGAAATATATATACAACGGTTTTAAATTAAGACAAATCAATGAACACCACTTGGACATGGTCTATTCATTGCACATTTATATGGAATTTTCCTTAAACATATAAAGATATCTATATTTCCAACATTGAATTAATAGTACATAGGATTTTTGTTAACACATTAATACAGACATTAACAAGTAAAGAAATTAAAACATAAATCACAAAAGCATAACGGACATCACATTACCGGCCAACACGTAATTTTCTATACACTTTCCACCACACTTATATAATCTACATTATTTGTTAACCTCTTCTCCTCGTCTGTTAACAACTTATCATATCCTTTGGTCCTATTCTTAAATAATTTATTACAAAACTTAGTAATGCTTCTCTTAGCGCTGGCTACATTCAAAACATCAAAATACACGTTCTTATCCTTCAAAGAAACAACTTTATTGCATTTATTGCTTATATATTTCCTTATTTTCGAACACTTTACCGAAGTATTTTTTAACGTATTTGCACTAGAGATTTCTTGACAAGTTCCAATCTGGGTGCTTGGATTATTAAATTTCATTATATTAATAATTATATATATTAATTTGTAAACCGTATCTATAAACTGCCAATGTAACAGTCAGAAATGAAATAACACACGCTATCAACAAATTAAACTCAACATGTCACTAGAATAAACATCTTTATCTGCGTACGGAGTCATTAACTTAGAATTATTCCAATGATACCAATTTTTACCTTTTTATAATAATATTGGCGGTATCTTAACTTTTTTTTCAATATGGCCGTTTAAAAATTAATTCCCGTTACCCCGTTTAAATTTAAAAAAATATATAATTAAAAAAGTAAGAAAATGTTTTCAAAGGATATTATTTGTTTCTGAATAGTCAAATTTAGGAAGTTATTTACATCGTCTTTCCTAAAGAATCCAAGTAAAAAAGAAGACGTAGTATATTGCGTTCAATGAGAACTATTTAGTTTTTATTTTAGAAAGATTTTTTAATAAATAAAGGTCAATCGAAATGGAACCTTTAAAAAAATATCTAAATCAAATGGCTCCGGTTCTCTCTTAACAAATATTAAAATCAAAAACTTATTTAATCAGTTTAAATAAGGCTTATAGTTTCAAATATGTTCCATATTCAAATTTAAGTTTTACTTGAAATTGACGTCATTATAGAACTTAGGAATCTTTTAACGGTCTTTTCCTTAGCTGCATTCAAACTTCTTCAATACATATAGTAAAACAAAGTCTGTTTGTCTGTTCGCAATTAACAAAAAAACTACTGCACCAATTATCAAACAGTTTTCACCACTCGATAGCGTGATTCTCGAGGAAGGTTTTAATATATAATTTGTTAAGGTTTTGTATTGATTTGTGTATAAATCAACGATATTTGTTGAAGATGTTGGGAAAAAATGAGTCGTCTGTCAGCTTTTAACGAAAATGCTGCCAAAATCCTTTGAAATATAACAAAATAATGTATAGTGGAATTACGTATCTTATATAGGTCTACAGAAAAGTCTGTGTTGGTATATGTCTACCTCTTAAGGATTACATACTCTATCCATTTTACTATTTTAAAAAATTGGCATTCATGGAGCGTTTGTATCAAGGCTATTTACATTATTACGGTATAAAAACTTATCAAAATATATAACTTTATATTCAAGCTTACTACAGTATCTATAAATTACTTTTTCAATTATTTAATTTTGGACGTACCATTTGAAATATTATCATAAGTTTAATAATTCTCAAAATTTAATCCATGCGATAGCTGACTTTTTTGTATGACGTTGTATACAACATTTTTGTAATTTTAGTATATAAAAAACTATTAGTGACATAAAAATATACCGTTTTTCTAAGTCACACTTAAAATATGTTTAACAAAGAAAGATGATGAAATTTTTGTTTGTCTTAATTTATCTCAAAAATAAAGTACTTAACGCATCATAGGCAACATAGGCTATTTTATAGTTTTTGTAAAGTACCCCTGAGAAGCTGGTGCAGGTACCTAGTTATTAATAAAATTCTAGTAGTAGAAAATAATCCAACATTAAATCAACTGTAGAATTCAATGACAGTAAATCATTCTTCAATAACCCATTTAAATGTACTTTTACAGTTTACTATAATTAACAACAAGGTTAAAACTTTATTAAGACAGAATAAATTGAAAAGGTTCTTTACATAAATTATTCACTTGTTTATTTTATTTATATACCTGGTTGGAGTGTAGGCTGTTGCATAATTGGTGCTGGATAACCCTGCTGAGGATGTGGATAACCTGGAGCATATCCTGGCTGGAACCCAGGTTGGAATCCAGGCTGGAATCCCGGTTGGAATCCAGGCTGGAAACCTGGTTGGAATCCATGCTGCATACCCGGAAGTGGTTGCGCACCTGGTGGGAGCATCGGCCCAGGGGGAGGCCCTGGGTAACCCTGTTGGGGGTTCATGGGGTAACTTTCTGATGCTTTACTACTTTCTTCGGGAGGTCCATATCCTTGGTTTTGTGGGAAATTTGGACTATACGGAGTTGGCTTGTGCGACATTTTATCCTGAAAAGAAAAGCATGCAACAATTAAATAATGTAATTAATAACTTTATTTTATTCTATGTTGTAGTAATTCTATAAGAAATAAGAGCTAATTAAATTATTGAATAGAAATATTAATTTTAATAAAAAAATTATCTTCATAATTCTAAACCACCAGACTATACAAATTATCAGATTTTTATATAAATTAGTGTGGCTAAGCTTTTGCTTACCAATAACAATAATGTTAAACTTGTTAAGAGTCAATGAATATACAAAACGGTTTTGTCCTAAGCTTATAAGTTAATTCTTTTTAGTGCAGTGATGAAATATTCTTAAGACATGAAATTTTCTGATTTTAATAAGTAATATACAAAGTCAACACAACATTTAAATTTAGAATCCTCAATACATCTATTTGAATGTATCTTTTTACCTACTTATTATTTTTAAAATAAAAAGGAGTTATTTTTAAGCCACTCATTTGAATTTATTGGAATGATTCATTTTATATAAGCTTTTTCAACTGCTTGGATATCTGCCAGATGCCCCAGTTGTAAATATAGTAAATTTTTTGCTAAGATTGTGGAATAGAAATTAAACTCAACATATAAGAAGTCTCAATAGCAGAACATATTTGACTCCACCCATTTCTTTTATTATTCTAATTAACTCAATCAAGGTTGGTTGTTTAAAATTTGGCCTTCATCCGTGCAAAGATGTGCACAGTATATTCTGTCAGAACAGCAATCAATACATACTACTTAGTAAAATAAGATGACAAATTAAATCATTATAAGAGATTACTACAATTTTTGTTGCATTTCAAGATAGATTAACATTTTTGTATAGTTCTTGTCCATAAACAAATTATTTTATTACAGATCAGGCTTTATTGTTTTCAAATTTACTAAACTTGTTTTTAGCTTTATTCGTACTAAGTTTTCATATCAATGAATTTCAATGAGCAAATATTATTAGTCATCAAATTATTGTTTACAATTATAGATACAGTTACAGAAAACTTTAAATATATGTGATATAATAAGTATTTTTAATCCTATTATTACTATAATATGTATCATTCTGCAATGTATTTTAAATTTATTCGATTTCAAATACCGGCTACTTTAAAAATATATAATTATTTATATTAGTAGGAGGAAAAAAAAAAAAACAAAAAGAAGGTAGCACTGAGGCGTTTTAAATACAGTTACCTACAAAATAGTTCACAATTACACGTATACAAGTCCAAAAACTTTATTATACACAAATATCACAATTCAACATCAATATAAAAACTTGATGTTATAATATGAAAATAAAAATAGGAATGAAATTGTAAAAGTCATAGACAAAGAAGATGTTGTAGAATAAAGAAAAATTATGTAGGAAAATTTTATATAGATTCTAATTTTAAAAAAAATTTACGATTTGTTTTATTAGGAAAATAGTGTATTAAAGTATGTATACCTTTTCATATAAATTTAAATGTTAATATTATAAGAAATAGTTTAAGTTTTCAAATTTCTGAACGAAAACGAAATTGCCAACTTTTCAACAAGAATTTAATGGTGACTTCCGGTATGGTGCTGCCATATATAATATTTTACCAATGTTTTGCAAGAATAAGAATAGAAATGCTTAGTTTTAAACAATATTAAAATTACATAATACCAAAATTTGCACTGTATTATATTTTTAATTCTTTTTAAACTTATGATTTCTTTAAAAATCAAATGCAAGACATTTAATTTTTTGTAAATGTATATCAACTAAATAAACTTACTATCTACTCATTTCATTTATTTACAAAAATAATTTGCCTTTAATGGAAAAATGTACTGGTAGAGAAATAAGTGAGGAAAACCTTCGTTTTTATTTGCATAAAATTTTACAGGTAATAAATATATAAGCTGGCAATCCTAGCATCCGGTTAAAGTATTCCCATTCACCAATCAAACCATTGCAATAGAGTGCATTGACCAACCTGCTGCTGGTGCCATATCTAGCAAAGAGCGAGTCAGTTGGATAGATGTTGCTTCCGCGTTTGTACTATCAAGTGTAAATCGAATAGAAGAGCTCCTCAATGCAATCAAAGTTGTTTTACCACTCATCTAACTAAAATGGCGTCGCTGTTTATCATTTAGTTATCATTCTTTAAGTGAACGTCCCTCAGTGATCGCATCCGAGTGAGTCATAAACCAACATAGCAATGACATTTTTATAGCACAAAGTGAGAATACGTTTAAACGTTTGTAGAAGACTGGCAAGTGTGATTTACATAGCACAATAATGCGCGAATTCAAAGTGGTCGTGCTGGGCTCGGGTGGGGTCGGAAAAAGTGCTTTAACTGTACAGTTTGTGTCCGGATGTTTCATGGAAAAATATGACCCCACCATAGAAGATTTTTATAGGAAAGAAATAGAAGTGGATAATTCCCCATGTGTTTTGGAAATATTGGATACAGCGGGAACAGAACAATTTGCTTCCATGAGAGATCTGTACATAAAGAATGGCCAAGGCTTTGTTGTTGTATATTCCTTAACAAATCATCAAACATTTCAAGATATTAAACCAATGAAGGAGTTGATAACTCGCGTTAAGGGTTCAGAGCGTGTACCTATTTTGTTAGTGGGTAATAAAGCTGATTTGGACCATCAACGCGAAGTTTCGCAGACTGAGGGTTCGGCGCTGGCGCAGATGTGGGGCTGCCCATTCGTGGAAGCTTCGGCGAAAAGCCGCACTAACGTCAACGAAATGTTTGCTGAAATAGTGCGTGAAATGAACGTTAGCCCTGAAAAGGATAAGAGACCTTATTGTTGTTGTACAGTGCTTTAATATTTAGTGTGTAATGTGGCATTTATTTCTCGTAAGACTGCAAGGGCGTAAGGGCATAGAGGGAGTACGCCCGCCTCAGCACAAGGGCCGCTCGCCTCCGGCGGGACCTGACCAGCGGCGCAGAGGCCTAGGTTGCAGGACCTTCGTCGGTCCCGCGACAATTGCGAAGCGCGTCATATCACGTTGTTAATATCTTTGATACATACCATTGTCCAATTGAGGTGCTTTATCTTATATTTTCATACTTTAGTACTGGTAGAAACTCCCGCAGTAACCTTTTTCATGATGAATATATATTATTTCTTATTGGAATATTTTATGTTCAGCTTGAAGTAATTTTCATTATTAAATTATTTTACTCTTTATATTTAAAAATAAATGTAAAAGCTGTATCAGATGTTGCAACCACAATAATATTTGTATTGTAAAATAATATTAGTCAACTTTGTATATAATTTCATGAGATTAATGATGTGGAAGGACATGGAAGGTTTTAGAGAATAAAAAGCCATCCAAATATGCAATAATCTTATAATGATTGTGTAGAGTGAAGTGCGATGAGTAAGCGTTTACACCTAAGTCATCATGCTGATTGTGTTTTAATGTGTAAATTGTTTATATATGAGAAATCAATAATCAAGGAAATACAGATGGACATTTGTCAGTTGCGTGATTGTGTTTTAAAGTCTACCAGGATTTGTGATAATACATATAACAAAGTATCTATAATAAAAGTTTTAAGTGGGAGATAACTTGTGCAGTTTTATTCAACAGTCTCAAAGGTAACCACTTTGTTTACATTACTCGCAAATTCTTTATATTACCGATTATTCCATAATTCTTAATTACTAGGATTATTTAATTATTGATCAAAAGAAATATGTAAATACAATCATTGGCCTTTACATTGGTCACATATGAATCAGCAATGCGTGGTATATGACACTCCCTAGAATGGCTGTATAAAATCCTGTAAATAATATACCTATGAATTAATTTTAATAGTATAAAATATTATGAAAACATCAAGAGCTGTAATTGTATGGCACAATGAAATCTTAGGTTTCCTTAATATGAACTTAAAAATCTGATCTTTTATGATCAGAAGTATTCATGTATTAAATATATTTTGAAAACAATACTTTGTTCCTATTTCATTGTATCCTTTAGTTGGGCATCAAATAAATCATTTCAGTTTATAAAAACTGCTAGGGAGATTAAAAGGATGACGAACATTTAAATAATTTTAAAAGTTCTTTTATTATTTTAAAAGAGTTAAATATTTATAACAATTGTAATATTTAATCTCATGTCTTAACTTTTAATTGATTTCTTACACTATTCCTTTGTTAGGAACAATTTGAGAGTTAGATAGTGGTGTGTTAACTTTTGTTAGTGGTTAAATTTTAACGCATGCAGCCTACCACATCTAATACACAATACAAAGAAAGTTTTAATAACATAGAGTGATTTAAACATCTGTGTAAGAACAACAATTGGATATTATTCAAGCTAAAATAACACTACCATCATGGTTTGTTTCTTTTATAAGATAAAAGGGTTTTTTACTGTTTGAAAAGCTTGATAAAGTGAAGCAGTTCTTTATTTAGCCAAATAAATATTGAATATTTCCGCATAATATTAACTTTAAAAAAATTAAACTGTTATTAATATAACTGCATTGAAACATTAAGATGAGGAAATACATAAGAAACTTAGCAATCATTGTATATTAAATATTATTATGTAAATAACTCAAACATTAGATTTTAAATGCAGTAGGAAAATTTTATATGGCCTCAAACATTTTAAGCAATTAAATTATTTTTGTTTTTAATTGGGGTAAAGTGGTTTAAATTCATGCCAAATGTATGTATTAACCTTGCAGTTTTATAATAGTAGTTAAAATGTTTGAAATATGAAAACATTCTAGATCTGGTTTCCATAATTAAAATTAAGATAAAATCACTAAAAATATCTATGTCTTTGTTTGTTCAATATAAACGAAATAGTTTATCTAATGTGAATAAGTCAAAACAAATGACGATTCTATACTAATGGGGACTTAAACAAGAAAACTTCAAATGCATTTAATAATGTTGGCAAATCGCAGCAGCCGTTGGAGCGTGACTCGTGCGCAACCATCACCGCAACAACACTCAGTGCACTTCTATAAATTAATAGACCTCATCGTTATGTTGACTGCTATTGTTGAAGCGTAGTTTAATTACGCCAAAGAGAAATAACATCTCATTATACTTATATTCATATTCTATAAAATATATTTCACTATATGAGTTTCTATCAATATATAAGTTTGTTCAAAGTGAAGGAAACATCGTCAAATACTAAATATATCCATTGAAGTAGTTTTCTCGCTTCCATTGTCGTTGTAAACGCTGCTACCATTAATGTGCCGTTACAGCCTAGATAAAAGAAAGCAGCCACCAGTAAATCTAACGCAAGTACATACATTGTAAATGTAAATAATTCTGGAATATCTTAAAAGGTAAGGGTTATTTATTCAAATGGATGTTTAAAATTTAAATGCAACTACATATTTACGAATATACTTACTTATAGTAAATAGCGACTGAATACTTCATAGAAATCAAGCTGACATCGTTATTTAAATGGAGAAATACCAAAATTATAAAATTGGTCTTCGCGCAACAAATTCAGTGAAGAATCTCACTCAAACACGAGGCCAAATCTTTAACTTGGACAAGATGAATTTAGTTTTCGAAAGAGTTAATGTATGGAAACCATAAACATTTCAAGAAGTGCAGGAATATTTGGATCGGATTGCATTTTATTATATTTCTTAAGTCGTCGACTAATGTCCTTAATCGAGATCAAATCGATTTATAGAACGTAAAGTGCTCTTTCATCTTTGATGTATCTGTGAATGAACCGTGACAATATACCGGTTTTAGAAATAACTCAGCTAACCGAACCGTAGGTCAGCTTATATTTAATTCGGGGTTGTTACTAATTTTAAAAGATTTTTGTTATTTATAAATCATGTTGATGTGTTTTAACTTTATTTTTCGAAATAATTTAAATCTGATATATATGAGATACAAATTGTAAATAAATATAATGACATAATATTTAAATAGTTCGTTCGAAAGGTTTGTTTCAAATATTGTTGTTAATGGTTGCAGTCAAACACAAGTGAGCATATACCTATTGTATGTAGCTGCATGTGTCGAAGCTATAAAACTTAAAATGATCAAACAAAGTATCATAGAATTAATTGTTCATTCAACATTCCTACTAAAAAATAAATACAAATTTATGTTGAGTCCTCCTGGAATAGACGCTCGGTATATAGTTTATTCCAAGCTGCATACGCAAGAGTGCCAAAGTTGCTACGCACACGACTGCGTGGGGGCGTGGGATACTATTAATAATATGATACCTAATCATACACATTGCTTCGATCAAAATGGAATATTGTTTTAAATTGCGTACGAAACACAAGAAAATATTTCCTTGTACATAAAATTATCTCGTTTACTTCTATAATATCGGTATAATGAGTATGTTTTATAAATATTGCGATATTTAATATCGAATAAATATTTGAAACAATAACAACACGTACGTGCTCGAGTTCAAGTTCATAAAAACGTTTCTTTTATCGTTTAGAAAAGAAATAAAAGAAAACGGACCCAATGTACTGTTATATCAGAATTTCCTTTGTAATGTTTTATAATTTTATTATTAGTTGAAGTAGCACCAAGCATTCATAGCTTTGATCCCCTCTTGGTTCTCATGATTTGTATGTTCTCATGGAACAATAAATGCGGGTGCACTTACAATGTTTAATTGTACAAATTATTCAATTTTTCATATAGCAAAAAGATTTTCGACTACGGGTTCAATAAAAAATATAAAATTAAGTATTTTATGTATTATCCAATAAGTAGGAATTCAGTATTACTCATAATGTTATTGATATGTTATTACTTCCTCATCTTAACTTTAAACACGCTTATTTTTTTCTACTTTTAAGGCTCTTAGACTATAAAATTAAGAAGACTTGTTTTTAAAAGAATCCTATAGTCTGGACAAACATACAAAATAGAGCAAAACGTTGATATCATTATGGTTGCCTTCGAAAATATTTGATCAGCAATTATTTCAGACTAGTTGGCTGTCTTCTATAGGTTGTAGTACACTAGCTGTGGTCCTTGACGAGTTGCGCAAACGCCTACCTTGACTTGTATAACTGGCGCCCAACATGGCAAGCCCGTTTAGACCTGCCTTCGATGTATCTACTGAAAAACGAAGACACGTTATGCCTATTTGATATAAGCTTGACTTTTTTTCAGTATATTTTTTTTTTATGTTTGAAAAAGTTATTCTGCAGCATCATATAATGTTTATCCGTGTACGAAGATAGTCATTTGTTCTTTTTTACTAACACAATATTCTTTAATAAAATATATTTCTTCGTATAGGGTAACTGATATTTGGTTTACAAAATATTATTCTAAAGATTTATATATTGTACATCATTAGCACATCTATTATAGTGAAAAGTCTGGTTTCATTGTTATCCGAGTTTGTAAAATAAAACCTTATATACGGTTTTGTCAATATGGAACACTTAAAATATAAAATGTGTCTTAAGAAGAGGACATAAGATTAATTTTTCCAGGAAGATATCGAGTTGGCGGGTGGGATGAGCAACTGAACACGTGCTCTGCTTCCGAGCATTCGACACAATAACAAAATGAGACATGCATTGTGTTCTGTGGCCCTCGGTCTAAAATGCAACCACGTGTTGAACAGGTTTCAATTTAAACAGAGTTTGTTAAGATTTGAATAGTTTAACAAGTTCACCTACAATTTGGTACATAATACAGCTAACATTCATATTACAGAGTCGAACAAAGGAAAGTATTAAATAAATAGATTTCAACGAAAAGATTTATACAAATTAATAAAAGCCGTGCTCACGCTTATCGCGGACATATAAGTTGAATTAT